AACTAGTTAAGACTTTTTAAAAGGAATTATTAAGGTCTCTAAAAGGACGTTTTAAATACATTTTTGCTAATGATTTTTTTTTAGCAGCTACTTTTCTTGATTTCAAATTTCGTAAATTCGAGTTTATCAAAAATGATATCTATAGATATGAATGCATTTCAAAGGCAAAAATGTTTATAAAAACATTTTATGAAATGCATCTAAAAGAAACCGAAGAAATCGATATAACAATTGAAACAAATTGTTTAAATAACACTTTGAACTCGTCAAACAGCTCAGCTGACAATACCATAAAAACATTTCAGCAATTGTCAACGTCACCTATTGCAAATAATATTACTTTAGTTAACAACAAAAGACGAAAGTCTATCAACTTAATTGAACTAGTAACAGATAAATCTTGTTGTAATTTAATTGAGAGCAATGATAAACTTGAAAAAGAAATAAATGATTACAGTCTGCAATACTTTCATAGCTACGAAAATAGTGCCATTGAATTTTTCCAAGCTAATCAAAAATTGCTCCCGGTTTTGACACAAATTGCACGGATAATATTTTCAGTTCCAGCGACATCCGTGCCATCAGAATGCTTATTTAGTTCAACCGGTTTATTAGATACGGAGCTACGGAACAGGCTTGCGCCAAGCTTATTGAAGCAGTTAGTTTTTATTAAAGAAAACAAGTAATCAAAAACATTTCTTTATTAAAATAAAAAAAATTATTTAGTAAAAGTGTATTTTATAAATCTTAGTAATTTAAAGCACTTTTATTCTTTTTTTTTTATCTGATGAACTTTTTTACAAACAGCTTAATTAATGACAATATGTTTTCTGCTACATTCTTTTCAATTCTGGAAAAAACACCAATATCCAATGATTGAGCTGCCATCAGGGCAGGTGCAAGTAGGTGTGACGTGGTGGGGTGTCATTAAAATTTTTGTTGAGTAAAAAATTAGGTCCTTGTTTTTTGAAGTTCGACGACTGACCTGTCTAAAAGGTCTACATTTGCCGACTTCTTTAAAAGGGTTATTTTTGCCGACTAAATGCACAAAAAATGCATTTAGGAGGGTGTGTGTGTAAATGATTCGTAAATTTAAATAATCTTTCCCCGTTATTGAATGGTTTAGAATTTGTAACTAAAGAGGACTAATTTCATAGCTTGTAGCAGTAGCATTTACTGTTATGATATTGCCCTTTTTTAAGAAATCTTGTTGTCCAAACAACTAATTATAAATTGGATTGTTTTATCTTTCCCTAACTTGAGGAAAATCTTTATGAACAAAAAAGTGATTAGAAATCTTGTTGTCCAAACAACTTTAAACCTTTCTGTGAGAGTCTTTTTTTAACTTTCTAGGAGTGATTATAGATGAAAATATGTCATGGAAATATCATATTAAATCTATTGAAATTAAAATGTCCAAAAATACTTCAATGCTATATATAGTTAAACCTTAACTTTATTTAGCATAAAAAATATATAATTTTCTTAATACGGAGTCTTAGAAAATTATATATTTTTCATTTAGGGAGAGTGGGGCAAAGTGGGTCGAATTTCTTTCTTTTTTAATTTGAGTGAAAGTTAAAATATATATTTAATGTTTGTCAAGGCTAAAGGATTGAGAATATGTCCTTCATGACAAGAAATAACTAAAATCTAAATATATATTATCTAACAGCTCACAGAAAGGTTTAAAGTGAGTTTTTGTTAAGTGATTCACTGTACCCCAGTACTGGGGTACAGTGAAACAATCAACTCATTTGCAAATTAGTGGTAGTTAATGGGGGCGTAGCCAAATAATTTTGAGGATGAGGGTGTAAATACATTGTACACTATACTTTTGGTGCACTTTTGGTAACTAATATTAAATAATTTAAATTTTTTCTGATTGACAAAATAAAGAATAAATTTTATTGATAACAAAACTTATTCAACCATCTAAAATCACAAAAAAAAAATTATTTAATAAAACTTATTTAACCAACAACACAAGAAATTTTTTAAAGTGAATTTTTAATTTTTATAAACATTTTTATCACAGTGAATTAACCGTTTCACGGTACCCCGATTTATTGTGCCCCACTATAAAAAATAAGGTTCAAGTTTAATTTCTTGGGGCATGAGTTTTATTAAAGGAAAAGCAAAACTACTAAAATGAACCATAAAGATCAGTATTCCGAATATAAAACTTTAACTTATAAAATGATTTTAACCATGATCTCCACAACAAACATAAAGATGGTAAGAGCATTTACTTTAGTTAGCTAAAAACATAAATTACCTACCTAAAACCGAGAGTCAAAAATTATGTGGTAACACCTATAAATAAAGATGGGTGATATATGCGCACTTAAACTTATTACATCATCGTGATGAACAAAATCATAATCTTTGAAAAAATGCTTCTTATTCACTGTGCCCCTCAATCCACTGTACCCTGACTTCCCCTATTCATAGTTTTTTTATTTATAAACTTAATATATACCAAGTTATGCTTTTTACGTTTAAATCAAAACATGCGTTATCTCCTTATATATTTCACTCTTACTTTGCAGAAATATCTCATTAATACCCATCTGATAATTTTGTAATTCCAAGATCTTATTTAAAACTCAATTCATTTCAAATTCAATACCGTGGACCATTTATATGGAAAAGTTTTTAAAAAAACATTATTAAAAATAAAATTCTTCTAAGAGCAATTCTAAGAACATCTCCTTAGAATAATTCGAAAGAGAATGTAAACGTTTTCTATAAGAAAAAAATTTCAATATTTCTTTTAATATTTCTTTTAATAAGTTCGAAATTAATTTAGCTAACAAATATCTATTGGTTTTTTCTCGAAATTAATTGCACACTTCGAAACTTTTTTTTTTCTTTCGAAATTAATTGGACTTTTCAAAATACACTTATTTTTTTCGAAGTTAATTTGACTTTTCAAAACTCTTTTTTTTCTTTCGAAATTAATATCACTTTTCGAAATACATTTTTTTTTTCGAAATTAATTTCACATTTCGAAATTCTTTTTTTCCTTTCGAAATAAATTTCCTTTTTCGAAATCCAGCTTTTTATTTCGAAATTAATTTCACATTTCGAAATTCTTTTTTTCCTTTCGAAATTATTTTCCTATTTCGAAATCCACCTTTTTATTTCGAAATTAATTTCACATTTCGAAATTACTTTTTTTTTTCGAAATTAATATGGCTAGTTCGATTATTATCGAAAGTTTTTTTAGATTTCGAAAAAAAAGAAGTATTTCGATAACGTTTTAATCGAAAATTTTCGAAAATTGCAATTTCGATAATGAACCCTACTTAAAATGCTAGAAATTTTTGTAGAATTGTTCGATTTTGATAATTTTTCACCTTTAAAACACTTGGCTTCAAGTTCTTTCCAATGATATATAACAATCTAGTGTTTGATTAATTTAAAATTTTTATGTCACATACCTAACAAGAAGAAAGAAAATGAAGTAAAAACTTTTGTTTTTACTTTATTCTCTTTTTTTCATTTTGTTTTCACATTTTATTAAAGCAAAATATCATCGAATTATTTGTGAGTAAAAAACAAGCTTTAGACAGACACTTCAAAAATTTGATTTACTTTGTATGTAGCAAAAATTGCATGTACTTCAGAAACAAATTTTTGATAAAATTTTGTTTTCAAAAAATAAAAGATTATAGTATTTTTGGTTATTTTTGGCAACTAACTTGCTTTTTTGCATACATATATAACTAATTGTCATGGATTATTGAAAAAAGTTAATGTTAAAAAAAAGTAAGACCAGAATAGTATAGGGGAAAACAGGATTTGTACACTTTTTACACAAGTCATTTAAAGCAAAAATAATTGCTATTTTAAAATAAGTTTAATGCTGCTGAGTAACCTAATTATCTGGCTTTAATAATAATGTAATTTAGTTTTGAAAAAAGCTAACATGGCGGTACTATGATGCCTTTTTCAAAAAAATGGAGATTGTACGAATGCACCCTACATGCAGGGTATGCAGGAAATGCACCCTACATGCTTCGTTCTACACTTTGTTAATGAAGTTACCCCTACAATGCAGGGAATGCACCCTACATGCTTTGTTCAGTTCTTTGTTTGGTATTTTATTACAAAGTTAAAAATATATTTATTAAAAATAAACAATTACGAAAATTAAAATTGAAACAAAATAATTATTAAACATAATAAAAATAAAATTATAAATCCCATCTGCATAGAATACATATTTTATCAAAAACTTTTCTAGGTTCTCATAGAAATCTGTTACGGCTGCCTGTTTAAATGCGAAAGAACGGGCTGCGCGGTTTTTTCATACAGATTTAAAGTAAGAATCCTCCCTACTTATTTATGTGCCCCAACCATAACAATTAACATAGAATGTGCCCCAAACATAACAACTAACATATAAATTCAAATAAAAATAACAGATAAGGTTATTAGAAAACTATTGTCTAAATAATAATCTAAGACACTTGAACAAAAAGCATAATAAATTATTTCATTAATTGGATCGAAAATTATTACGAATAAATGTTTTCAAAGATTAAGTGTAAAATTACTTTAGCAGTGAAAAAAAAACATATCGACTTGTTCCAATAACGACTAAGATGGCACTGCCACAGCGCTAAGCTGTTAGAGTTTGTGCATGAGTGGTCTTCACACACATAAATATAAATGTGTTAAAACAAAGAATGGTCTAGATATGCTTACTGTAAGAATGCTTCGCTGTACAAATCCTACCTGCTCTTGCCTAAGTATTTTTATTGAAATCATGTTTACTGATAAAAAAATGAATTAGAATATTTTTCTAAAAATCATGCAATTAAAAACATTTTCCTTAAAAAAATTTTTTACTCCTCTAATTTTCATGAATTTGTTTCTTAAAATTATATAATTTTCTAGTATATTCAAAACTTCCTTATTTTAAAACAATATATATTTAATCGTGAGAATTTAGTATTAATTATAAGTGAACAATTATAAAACTACCTTACTTTAAGTATTTTGCATCCACATAATGCATCGACGTCTAATGCAACAATAATTAATACTCTCTAAAAAAACAATTAAAAATTTAATTTTTGATAACAAACCTTTTAGAATAAATATTTTCAAAAAACTTATTGATACCTCCGAAGCTACAACATCGTAAATATCTTCCTTAATATTCTCCGTCAACATTTCATACACACTTCAGGTAGTTAAACCATTTTAATTTAAAATAAACTTCTGGATTCAAATAAAATTGTTACTGTTACAGGACCTGCTTTGTTTTTATTTGAATGCGCCATTAAGTCAGGTTTCGCGGGAACATCTATATTTAGTTTCCATTCTTTTTGTAAAGACGACTGAATAATTGCGAACTCGCAAAAGTGCGAATAGCGTAAGTGCGAACTGGCTAAGCGATGTAAATTTTCCGGTAAGTTTGATTCAAAATTTACCGGTAAAATTTACAGGTAATATTTACGTTAAATTTAGGGTAAATATTCCTACATAAAAAAAATTTTTTGAAATAAAAATAAGTAATTAATAAATAATAATAATAAGTAAGTAATAAAAAAAAACTTCAAAATTTATCAGGTGGATTTTTTTTTTCGGTAATTTTCCGGTAAATTTTACCTTCGCAACACTGGTGCGAAGCAGTGGCAAAAAACTGGTAAAATTGCGAAATGGCATAAGTGTACCAAAAGAATTTGGAAACATTTGCATAAGTGCAAACTGCAAACTGGCATAAGTGTGCTGAAAGAATTTGTCAACATTGGAATAAATGGGAAAAGCCAATTCGCTCTAATGCCATTTCGCACTTATCCCAGTTTTTGCTACTTCCCCGCGGTTATGCCAGTTTGCACTTATGCTGAGTCGCACTTATGCCAATTTTTGCAACTACTACGTACTCTTGCTAGTTCGCACTTATGCCATTTTGAAATTATTCAATCTCCCGTTTTTATGGATAGAAGATTTTTTTTTCAAAGATTGTACTGATAGTAGCCTGATATTAGTCCCCTAACTAAACGCAGGACCGGCGCAAACACGTATTTTTGGGGGGTTATAAATAGAACAAAGTGTCGATTAATTTTTTTATTATCATTAAATTTAATCATTCTTGTAAAGTAATGTTAATTATTAAAGAACCAAATAAAATGAACATTTACAATAATGATAAGTTCTCAGTTAAAACTACTTAATCATGACGTCAAAGAGCGTTGTTTTTTATTCTTGTTTACAAAATAACGGGACGACTGAATAAGCGCGAATTTGATAAGTGCGAACTGGCATTTGTGCGAATGGCGTAAGCGCGAATTGGCATAAGCGCAAATTGGCATATGTGCGAACTGGCATAAGTGCGAAGCGTTGCAAAAACTGGCATAAGTGCAAACTGGCATATGTGCGAATTAGCATAAGTGCGCCATAACATTTTGCAAACATTGACATAAGTGCGAATTGGCATAAGTGCGCCGAAAAAATTTGCAAACATTGGCATATATGCGAACTGGCATAAGTGCGAATCAGATACAAAAACTGGCATAAGTGCGAATTGGCATAAGTGCGAAATACTAATTTGCCAATATTAGAAATTTTATTTAAAATTTTATTAATTAATTATGCCAATATTAGAAATTTTATTCGGCGCACTTATGCCAATTCGTACTTATGCCAGTTCGCACTTATGCCAGTTTTTGTAACTGCTTCGTACTTATGCCAATTCGCACTTATGCCAATGTTTGCAAATTTGTTTGGCGCACTTATGCCAATTCACACATGCCAGTTCGCACTTGTGCCAGTTTTTGCAACTGCTTCGCACTTATGCCAGTTCGCATTTATACCAATTAGCACTTATGCCAATGTTTGCAAAATGTTTTGGCGCACTTATATCAATTCGCACACATGCCAGTTCGCACTTATTCCAGTTTTTGCAACGCTTATGCAAAACATACATATGCCAATTCGCGCTTATGCAGCCTCCCGAAAATAACAAGGGTATATCTTATTGACGTCTATTTTCAACAACCATTTTTAAATCAATTATGCCCAACATATCTTGGTTAGTATTAAGAAGTATCAAGTCTTGTAGAGAATCAACGTGCATTGTGGATCTGAAATAATTTATGATCAATTTTAGAAGGCCATAAGAGTTTTAATGGCTTTTTCAGTTTTATAGCAACAACCTTTAAAAATAATTAAATATAAAAAAACCCGTTTAATAGCTAATAATAAAAAACACTAAAAAAAACAACAAAATATGGACCCCGCAGAGTTTTATGTGTAAAAGCCCTGGATGATGTACCTATATGTGCTGTTACCAGTATTCCTAACATTTTTTCTAACGGTATTCATAATTGAAACTAATCAAACCCATACAGGTTTTATTAATCAGACTCGAACTGCTTATCTTATTTTAGATAAATATGGAGTTGTAAAAAACTTATCATCACTGATAAACTTTTTTGTAAATGTCTCTTTGTACTGGAAGAAAAAAATTATTATTCTTACTCAGAAAATAAATCTTATTCAACTTATTCAAAATTATTTTATTATTTATATATTATTTATTATTTTTTATTTATTAATTAAATCTTATTATTTATTATTGTAGCGAATGTATTCAACTATAATATTATAGTGGTGTTCAGGAAATGTATTAATCTTATTCAACTATAATATTGTAGCGAATGTATTTAACTATAATATTATAGTGGTGTTCAGGAAATGTATTAATCTTATTTAATTATAATATTGTAGTGCAAGGAATGTATTAATCCTTTTTAACTCTAATATTGTCGTTTAAGGAATGTATTAATCTTATTTAACTATAATATTGTAGCGGTGTTCCAGGAATGTATTAATCCTATCGGCCTGACATGGTATAAATGTAATTAAGTGATTAAGAAGATCAGATTATTTTTGTTGCGTACCAATGATTTTTCCAGGTTTGCTACTATATGTTATATATCATACATACATATCATATATATGTTTTCTTTTATAAATATCGTCGAATTACCAATTGTGTTCTCTTTGTTTTTTTTTATTTTGTTTATATTCAACTGAAGTTTAAAAATGATGTATAAAAAAACTATAGCTAATGAAGAACTTAAAATTATAGAAAAAGACAGTTTGCGATGGCAAAATGTTCTTCTTCGCTTAATGAATATCACTCTTTACCTAGCTGAAAATAATATGGCTTTTCGAGAGAGTTCAGATAAACTGTTTACACCTCAAAACGGCAAATTCTTTGGACTAATACAAATGCTTGCAAAATTTGATCCTGTGATGCAAAAACATTTAAAATGTGGCAGATCATTACTGCGGGAAAAATATTAAAATTGAGTTAATAGATTTAATGTCTCAAAATGTTAATGGTAAAATAATGAAACAAGTCTTGAAAGCCGTTTACTATTCAATCATTGCTGATTTTATACCTGATATTTCTAGAAAAGAACAACTTTTTCTTATAATTCGAATTGTTGACTGTTCATTAGTCATTAGAGTTGAAATTAAAGAGTACTTTTTAGGGTTTTTTCTGTTTCTGATTCTACAGTCTTAGGACTTACTGAAGTTTTAATCGAATTGCTTACTAAACATGGACTTCTCTAACTGCAGAGGTCAAGGGTATGATAATGGATCAAATATGAAAGGAAAGATAAATGAGGTACAAAAAAGCATTTTGAATATTAATCCTTTAGCATTATATGTTCCCTGCGGCAGTCATAGTTTAAATTTGGTAATAAGTGACTTTGCACGGTCTTCAGTAAAATGTATAACTTTATTCGGTATTCTCCAAAGATTTTTCACTCTATTCTCAGCTTCAGTAAGCCGATTGAAAATTTTACTTAATCACGTTAAAATTTTGCATTTAAAGAAACTCTGTGACACGCGGTGGGAAGCAAAAATAAGTAGTGTCAAAGCCATTCGTTATTAAGTTGGTGACATACATCATGCTTTGATAGCATTGTCAGAAATTGAAGAATTTGATCCTCTAACTGCACATGAAGCGATAACCCTAGCAGAGAGAAATTTGAAAGATTTTAGCTTTTTTGTCTCTTTAATTGTCTAGTATGACGTTCTTTATCAAGTCAATATTGTTAGTAAAACTCTTCAAGAGGAGGGCATGGATATCACTCAATATGGAAAATTAGTGAAAAGCTGTTGCTCATTTTTGGAAAACTACAAAAAATGTGGTTTTAAAAATGCAATTATAAAAGCAAAGGATTTGGTCGTAGAATTACAAAAGAAGCCTGTTTTTAAACCACTTAAAAGAATAGTACGAGTAAAACGCCATTTTGACAAGATGAGATTTATTCATTTTCTCCTGAAAAAAAAATTAGAAATCGATTTCTTCAATCCTCTTTTAGACACATCTCTAATTTTAATGTGAGAAAGCATTATATAGTTGGAGAATTATTTAGAAGTTTGGGGTTTTTTGTATAATTTCAATAGTTTGCAAAAAAGAGAAGAAATTCTAAAATCATGTTTAACGCTTTACAGTAAACTTACCGTAAATCTAAAATCAGACATATTATTTTCAGGTTATTTTTGTTTCCAGACTCCAATTACTGCATTTTTTTGGGAAAAAAATTGCAGTAATTGGAGTCTGGAAACAAAAATAACCTAAAAAATTATCTTATTTACCCTGAATGTGAAGAGAAAGATAAACTTAAATTCGTTGACAGGTTTTAAGTTTTATTTAATAATGATTTAACGTTCAAAAGTTATGAATATGTTTAATTTCCTCCCATTCCCAAAATGTAGAGCTGTACACTTTTTTCATAAGTTATACATTGTTTTCAGTTTATCATGTATTTTTTAAAACCAAACCAGCAAATTCAGATTTTTTTAATTTACTGTAGTACAACGCTCGCTAAATATGAAGCTACAAGTTTATTTTCTACAACCTTCCTAACGATCCTGTTACCCAGTGGGCACCGGACCTAAAAAAGACGTCTTTTGAACGTTCAAAAGACGTCCAAAACGTTCAAAAGACGTTCAAAAGACGTCCAAAACGTGTATAAGACGTTTAAAAGACGTTTTTTTTACGTCTGTGCCCACTGGGTAGTACCCCACTCAAATTATTTTTCTGTGCAGTAACTTTTCAAGGTTTGTGTCCCGGAGTTAAAGCGTTGAAAGAAGTTTTTAACAACTAACCATTTAAAAAAAAGAAATAACCTTCTTAACTGCAGTGACTTTCGCGGTTTCGGGAAGTTGAATATACAGTGTTTATCAGTTTTGTTCAATTTCGACATCTGGCAAAAGTTGAGGGCAACTCAAAAAGAACTTTAAGGTTGAATAACTTAGTATGATTGCAAAGAACCATTGAGTT